ATCACAGCAGCAACTGACCAACCAGGTCCCTGGGCTCGTCACCTGACCCGTGGGTGGCACAACCCCCAAGCAGCTGACTCATGGGGGTTCCCTGGCACAGAAAGGGGGCCGTGCAGCCCCATCCTGAATCCACATCGCTGTCCTGAGCACCACCCTGACACCTCTGTGACCACATCTCCTCAACACCTATGGCCCACAGCCTCTGTGTTCTGGCTCCACCCGAGAGCCAGGCAGAGGAAGGGCTTCCCGCCCGCTGGCACCCGGCAGCCCTGGGGAGGCCTGAAACACCCCACATCTTTCTTCCCCAGGTCAAATCCCCAGACCCTCCTCGGCCTCAGTACTCCAGCCTCCCAGGTATGGAGGCTCCAGAGCAGAGAGGCTGTCCCCCTCCACCTGTCCCCAGCCTTGCTCTGGTGTGATGAGGACCCTGGCCACCACGGCTCATAGCACGTAGGGGAGGGGCACAGCGTTGGGCACAGCCGAACGTTCTCTCCAGACCTCGAGGAAGGTGCCAGGACCGTGACAAGTTTGCCACGGCTGAAAGCACAGGCTTGGAGGGTTCTGGAACTCAGCCAGGTGGCCCGGCCACAGGGGTGACGCTCAGATGTGAAGCCCATCTCCCGGCTCGATGTGAGCGCTCTCACCCGCCAGCCCCTCTTGTCCAGCATCCTGCACCAGGACACCGAGGGGGTCTCTATCCCTGTGGGCCCTTCCTCGTGTGCCGAGGGGGTCCTGCTGCTCCAGGGGGCTCTGAGCTCTCATCACCTTGACTGGCCCCTCCACTGCTTCCCGGGATGACAAGGCAGCCCACTCTCCCTGGCAGAAGACCCTGGTATAAAGGGTGCCTGTAGCCCCCCAACTAATACAGGTCCTCATTAGGCGCTCCCCGCACGGACAAAGCAGATGCAGACATCCAGCTCAGAGGGGGAGGGGGAGGTCTCTGGACAGCCAGGGGACCAGGCCCGGGGACCAGGCCCAGGGGACGCAGCACTGGGAGAAGTTTTACCCAGAATCCCAGGGCTAAGGGGTCTGAAAGGGGATGGTGCAAAAGAGACCTGATGGCCTGCCCCCCACGTGGCCTTGTCCTCCCCAAATCTAACCTTGTTCCCCCGTCCACATCCACGGCTCCGGCCCCCCATGTGGCCCCATCCTCCCCAAATCCATCCTTGTTCCCCCGTCCACATCCACGGCTCCGGCCCCCCACCTGTCCCCATCCTCCCTAAGACCTTCCTTGTTCCCCTGTCCACATCCACAGCTCTGGCCCCCCATGTGGCCCCGTCCTCCCCAAATCCATCCTTGCTCCCCCATCCACATCACAGCTCTGGCCCCTCTTATGCAGCCCCACCCTCCCCTCCACCTGTCCGCAGCCCCGACCGCTGCGTCCTCTCCCGATCTGCAGAGTCAGCATGGCCTGGCCAGTGAGTGGCCCCCGCGTTAGGAAAGGCGGGCAGGATTAGCCCAGTGAACCAGCAGGGCCGCCAGGATTTAGTACCATAAATGATTAACATGGACTGTGAAGATGCTGCCAAAGCCACCAGAATGTTCTTGGGACACTGAAGGTGACACCAAAGCCACAGGAAAGATCTGGGGAAAGCCAGGACAGGAGACACTGAGGCAGCCTGGTCAAGAGTCCACCCCTCACCCACCCCCACTCCCTCTTCTCAGCACCCCGGCCCCAAAGGACTCAGCCTGAGGGGGCCACAGAGCAGGCAAGGGCCAGATGCTCAGAGGGCCAGGATGTGGGTGTGTGCTCACACAAACACCCAGCCAGCCTTGCACCTCCTGCGGAGCCGAGGAAACTGAGGCTCGTCAGGTCACACGGCAAGGGCAGCGGGCCGGGGCCCAGTCCAGGCAAAGTGGTCAGGGCTGTGGCTGGGGGCAGAGGGCAAAGGAGGGGCCTCCACTCGACATCCTGCTCCTCTGAGTGGGGACAGGGGAGGGGGCAGGAGGGAGAAGCAGAAAGGGGGGAAGGGAGAAGGAGGGAAGGGAGGATTAAGGGGAGGATGGAGGTGAGAGGTGAAGGAAGGGGGGAAGAGGGAAGGAAGAGAGAAGACAGGGCAGAAGGGGGAGGGGAGGAAGGGGAGGAGAAAACAGGCGGAAGAGGGGTCCTAGGTCTCCTGTAAGTGGGCCCCTGAGCAGGCTTCCCTGCCCCTGGGCAGACAGGACCGGGGAGCTTGCAGAGGCCGAGGGGTGGGCGGCAGCTCTGCTCCAGCTTGAGGCCCATGGGGCACCCCCTCCTGGGCCCTGCACTGATGCACCGGCCGCAGGCCCATGAGTGAGGCGCTAGGACCCTGGGGTCAGGGGTCTGCATGGACCCCCGCAGGTGCTCCGGCCTTGGCTGCGGTCCCAGGAGATCCTGGCTGAGGGAGAGGACTGGAGCAAGGAGGAGGAAGGAGTGGCCGGGGGGAGGGCAGACAGGGTCAGCCAGGACAAGCGAGCACAGGAAGGGCCAGCTCTCCCCACCCCCCGGGCTGAGAAGGGGTTCCCCGAGGAGGGGCAGGATATCCTGACTTGTTCCTGTTGTGCCTGGGGGAGTGCAGCCACCACCCCCAACACTCACACACCAGGCTCTGTCCTTTGAAGCCAGCTCTTCCTTCTCCGCGCCCAGAAAGCCGCCCCAGGCCCGTGTCATGACAACATCCCCCCATTCACCATCTGCCTCCCGAGGATGAGGCCTTTTCTCTGCTGCAACCCCGGGTGGGGGGGCCACCCCATTTCACATGTGGGAGGGGGTGGGGGCATCCACCCCATTTCACAGGTGGGAGGGGTGGGAGGGCATCCACCCCATTTCACAGGTAGGAGGTAGCGCGGAGCGTCCACCCCATTCCACGGGTAGGAGGGGGCGGGGGACATCAACCCCTTTCATGGTGGGAGGGGCGGGGGGCATCCACCCCATTTCACAGTGGGAAGGTGGGGGTGGGCACCCCATTTCATGGTGGGAGGGGGCGAGGAGCCAGCAGCGGGCACTGTCTGTCCTGCCGTAGCCGGCCCTGCAGTCCCAGCTCCAAGAGAGCACCCTGTGGACGTCAAGAGACTTTGGGGGGTGAGGGACACCATCCCAGGACCCCAGCCAAGCCTCATGCCCTGTCCAGGGGGCCATCCCCAAGGCCCACCTCCAGCCCCACCCAGCCCGGAAGGGACTTCCACGGCCATCCTGGGGCCTGGAATGGCTTCTAGGGGGCCATGAGCGGGGGGCCGGCCCGAGGTCACCCCACTCGGGGAAGCCCAGAGGCTGCCCCGTCCCTGCTCCCAGGAGTTCCTGAGCTGACGTCGGAGAATGAAACATCGTCAGGAAGAAAACAGAACAGAGACTTCCTCTAGTCCCCAGCCCTCTTCCTCCCACGGAGCTGCCGCTGCGGCCGGCCACCACATCCTCGAGGCGGAACCTGCAGGGCCCCTTGCCGCAGTGGCCCTTCGAGGGCACAGCCAGCAGCCCCTGCCACCTGCCCAGCACGGGCATGCAGGGCTCCAGGACAGCCAGCCCACAGGGACTCCTCCAGGGCTGGCCCTGCCCACCTCCCGGGCTTCTCAGGGACTCTGGGAGCCAGGAGGAGTGTGCAGAGCTGCACCCACAAGCCCAGCCTGGACCTGATGCCCACTTGGGTGGGTCCCTTGGGGCGACTGCACACTAATACCCCCAAACCCCAAGCCAGGCCACTACGCTGCAGCCCCAGCCATGGCCCAGACTCAGGGACCACCAACACTCAATGAGGCAGGCACAGAGACTGCGCACAGGGAAGGGGCTTAAAGAGCATGGTTGGACCGGGCCTGTGGGCCACGCTAGTCCCCAAGGCCTGCCTTCTGGCCTTGGAGGCCTCTCTTCAGAAAGCAGCACCCCAACACCACCTGTGCCTGGGAGGAGCAAGGAGGGGAGGTGAAGTCAGCAGCTTCCCCACCCGCCTCACCTTCCGGAGACGATGCTCCCAGCAGCTGGGACCCTGACTTTTCCCTCACCCCCAGGAACCTGGTGGCTACCAGAGAGAGGAACAGGGCCCTGGCACCCCCCTGCCTGTCCCTGCCCAGGCCCAGCCCAGCCCAGCCCAGGGAAACCTAACCCGTGCAGCACCCAGAGACCACCGGGCCAGGACCCACAGGCCAGAGCCTGGCACGGCACCAAGGGGCTGCTGGCTGGGCAGCCAGGAAGTGCAGGCACCAGGGCTGAGGGGGTAGGGCTCCCAGCAGGGGCCAAGGCAAGCGCCGGACCCTCTGGGGGGACGGCGGGAACATCCTCATGCCCTTCCCCAGGAATCCTGCTGCCCTCAGGCAGCCCACGCCAGGAATAACCACCTGGACAGCAGCCACAAGCCAGGTGGGGCTGTTCCTTGCCCGCCCTTTCCTGGGCACACCTGCTTCTGCTTCTGACCGACTGCTGGGAACCTGGCCGACCCTCCCCTGCCCCGGCGGTGAGGAACAGCTGCTCCTGCGTTCTCTGCATCGACCCAACCAGGTGGTCGTGAGTGTGGTCCGGTTAGCAGGTGACCGTGGGCACTTGAATGGCTGTGCTGATCCCAGGGAACCCCACAGGTCCGGCCACCTGGCAGAGCAGTGCCCCCACCAGGACAGCGTGAGCTGTGCTCCCCCAGCTGGAGCGCCAGGCCCTCCCCCCACCCCCAGCTGCCTCTGGGGAATTTGTCCACCCCTTCGAGGGCAAGCTCGGCCAGCACAGGTTCTCTCTCCCACAAGGATTAACGCCTGCACCGCGGCTCCAGGGAGGAGTGGAGCGACTCTGGGTTCTGGAGCCCCCACCTGTTTCTCCCACCCGCGTACACACCCACCCACGCTTCGACTGGGCGTGTGCAGGGCTTCGTCCCCCCGCCCCGCCCCCCACCAGCCTCACACCGAGACCCTGACAGGGTCAAACCTCCCGCCCCCAATCTTGTTTTGTTTGCTCATGAATGCCTTCCCTCCCTTGGCTCCTATGGGGCGGCAGCAGGTGGCGGTGGGCCCCAGCGCCCCCACCCACGCGGAGAGCGCCCCTCGCCCCGCCCCGGGGTACTCACACGGCAAAGTGGTAGACGAAGCACTTCCAGCCTGTGGGGCGCTCGAGGAAGTTGTAGACGCGGCCCTGGACGTGGGTGCGCGCCAGCAGCGGGCGGCGCGCGCTGTAGATGGAGACGCGCGGGTCTAGGCTGACCCGCGGCCAAGGGCCTGGCTCGGCCGGGGGTGCGGGCGGCCGCGTGGCGGGCC